AATACTATTTTGTCTATTGAAGTGAACATGTGATTTTTGCTCTTTGCTCTATTAATACAGAATATTACAATGATTTACTTTTGGATATTAAACCAACCGTTCCTGGGCTAAATTTCACTCAGTCACAGCGTATAATCCTTTTTCATATGTTGCTGGATTTGGTTCGCTAATATTTTACTGAGGACTTTTACATCTGTATTCAGAAGGGATAAGGTTTATGGTTTTCTTATGATGTCTTTAGTGTTGGTATCAGGGTAATAAAGGCCTCACAGAAGGAATGGGAGGTACTACTCCCTCTGCTACTTTTTGGAAGACTTTGTGAAAAATTGATCATAAAAAACTTATTATTAAGGAAATTTTCAACCACACTAAAAAGCAGTAAAAGAGTATCATGAGTTCTTACATATTCTTACATTCAACTTCAATAATTATCAGCAGTCCACCATACTGATTATACCTACACCCCACTACCCCAGTGTCTTACTCTTTTGGAGTCTGGAATTTTTTAAAAACAAATTTCAGATGTGTCATTTTACCTTAAATACTTCAATATAAATCTCTAACAGACAAAGATAACTTTCTCTTTGAACATATTAGAGCTGGGACCAGCAGTTAACGTAATGGCTATGTTGCTGGAGGGGGTGATTTCTTGCTTTCGGTCTCTCTGTCTCTGTCTGGTGAGCGCACGCGCCCTATAGCAAAAACCTCTCCGGGAAAAAAAAAGAAGGTGGAAGGAGATTCTCCAATGTCAAAAGTATGATGGAAAATGCATTCTCTGAAATTCAGTTAGCTGCAGACTAAATTCTTTCACCCTAAGAACAAACATATTAGAGCTTAATTATTTCACCTACATTATTACAGCATAATTCATAATGCTATCTAATACGTGGCTCATACTCAAATTTCCCCAAATGTTTCAAAAATGATTTTAGAATTTGTTTGTTTGAATCAAGATCCAAACAAGGTCCAATATCATACTTAGTTGACATGACTCTTTATAATTGTTTCCTTCTCTATTTTCTCTCTATGCCGTTCATTTACTTGATGGGGAAAAAAAACAAGATCAATCTGTCCTATAAAAGTTTACACATTCCAGATTCAGCTACTGTGTTCTCATGTATCTGTTTAATTCTTTCTTCCATCCTACATTCTTCTTATAAACTGGGAGTCAGATCTAGATTTAGATCGCTATGAACTAATTACTACATCATACTGGAGGACAGTTAATGTCTGGCTGTCCCACTTTTAATGTTACGATTCAATGGGTTAAGGTGCTATCAGCTTGGTCTATCGGCTGTAAAGTCCCCTAATCTTTACTTAATGGCTTAGCAAGCACTGACCATTAGTGGGTAGGTATATTATTTCAGTAAAAGATGCAACATGGTGATTTTCTAATACTTTCAGTTCTTCCAAAGCTAGGAGTTCTTACCTTCGGAATTCTAGACTCCAGGTCTATGATTCCCAATGAGGATGGCACAGCCTTCAGGTGCCATTGTGGAAGCCCTTGGGATGGTTTTGCTTGTCACAGCAATTAAAGGGCCTTTTTGTCATTTATAGGCAGAGACCAGAAATGTTGGCAATGGTCTACAATTCATTTATAGCAGAGTTCTGAATAATGAGGAATGACCTGCATCCCACACAACTTCCAGATGTCTTGTTAGATACTCATAGAAGTATAAAGCTGTCTTAGTCCACTCTGTTGCTAACAGAAATAGCTGAGACTGGCTGATAGAAGTGAGGTTTATTTGGTCTATGATACTGGTGGCTGGAAGGTTCAAAGGTATGGGATTGTCATTAGGCTGGCTATATCACAATGTGGCTGACAGAAGCAGAGAGGATGGTAGATACATACAAAGACCCAGAGGTAGTTATCCATTTTTTTTTAATATGCTATAGGGTGTGTGCCCTCAACAGAGACAGAGAGAATGAGAAAGAGAGAGAAAAAGAGCACCCTCCCCAGTGGGGATAGTTATGACACAATCCTTTCTTTTCCATTCTCTTCTTGGGATTTTATGCATGTGCGTGTGCAAACACACACATATGCCTAACATGTTTCTCAAGCCACCAGGTCTGGGACTCAAACTGCCAGTTGCTTATAGCCCCCATATGCAGCAGGAAACTGGCTGACCCTACAGCCATCTTCTTTATACCAACCCACGCTCATGGGAAAAAGCTCCTTCCATTAGGGTTAGGACTCACTCAGTCTCACACAAGATAGCATTAATCTGTTCTTGAGAATGATGGACTACCCACCAGGCCTCACATCTTTAAGGTCTCACCACCTCCCAATGTCATTATTATTTCTTTATTTTTTAAAATTTATTTTAATTTGGCCAGAGAAAGAGCTACACAGATAGAAAGGGGGGGGGAGTGAAAAAGCAAGCCACCAGGTCCAGGACTCGAACCATGGTCAGCCATGTGGGAGTGTCCAGCGCCCAACCACCATGCCACCTGCTGGTCCCCCCTAATGCCATTATTATACTGGAGAACAAACTTGAAAATATGAACTTTTAGAGTACAATCTATTAGCCAAACCAAAGCAAAAGCCTACATAAATTACCTAAATATAAGACCATTAGCAAGCCACCAGGTCCAGGACTCGAACCATGGTCAGCCATGTGGGAGTGTCCAGCGCCCAACCACCATGCCACCTGCTGGTCCCCCCTAATGCCATTATTATACTGGAGAACAAACTTGAAAATATGAACTTTTAGAGTACAATCTATTAGCCAAACCAAAGCAAAAGCCTACATAAATTACCTAAATATAAGACCATTTTATATATTATATATATGTATATATATATATATATATTTGTAATTATA